ACAGCGTGGAGGAAGACTTATCTGAGCAAGGGAAATGAAGTTTATGAGATTTCTTGTTCTAGACTATATGACTGTGGAGCAGTTGTTCCAAGATCCTACTCCTGGGTCCATGGAACATAGATGAAAATGGCACAGAATTCCCAATATTTATGGATTCAATTGATAATTGACATTGGGAATTCAATACCTGGATGACCAACAACACATTAAAAACAACAACAAAAATCAAATCAGCAACAATGAACAAGAATAAACTCCATCCCAAATAAATAACATCTATATTTACATGGGCACCATTGGCAATACACAAAAGAACAGTTAAAACCCATAATATCTCATGGCTGAAACTACTAACTTTCTGATCTCTATGCCTAGAGATACACAACCAGGCCTTTATAGCTTTCCTAAAAGTTGACAGGTTTGGTGCAGGTTGCAACTTGAGAGTATGATTTTCTAGGGGCTGGTGTTGCAAGAGAAAAGGGTCTTTTCTTTCTGGGTCCCACTAGAAAGTGATCATTTTTAATCATTGGGATCCATAGCATGCCTGTACTAATGGACCATGTGAAACAAGCAAAGTTATTTGTACTAATGCCATGAATCCAATGGATTTTGAATACTAAGTTTGGTTGCGTCAAAATGTATGTTTTCAATAATATGAATATGTTATATTCTCACCACATATGGAGATAGTACAGTAACAAAATAGATGTATGCATCATTGTCTAATCTATGGTTCTCAATCTTTAGTATCTTATGCACTGCTAATCACTAGAAAAAAATCTGGTTTACAACATGATATAAACAAGATCCTACTTCTTTCAAGAAGGGCATTTAGATGTTTACAGACATTTTTTTACATTAATTTTGATTTAATGTTAGTGTTTCAATGACGGCTGGACAATGTATATACTGGTTGAGAAGACCTGGTTGAGAAGACCTGGTCTACAAATACAGATACTCCAAGGATGTAGTAAATTGATGGAGATAGGTCTTATTGCCTCCATGAATTTTCATATGATGTTTCAGTAGTATAGCATCTGTACGGTATGGTGTTATTGGAACTACTATTAAAAAAGCCCAAATAATTGAAATAATATTAATCATACATTGTTGGTAATTATAGACATTGAAACTATTAAATGCATTTATTTTTAAACTAAAACAAAATCGAAAGCAGAGAGTTTGTGTTGGATTGACAGGCTCACCTATAACAAAGAAGATTCAGATGAATATTTGTGCTAAGCAAACCACTCATAAAATAATAATAAATAAAAAGCTTAATCTGATTCTGTTTGAAGTTATACTCCAAGATCTTTCATCCAGGTGTTATTTTCCATTTAAAAGAAAGTAAGGATTGATTAAAAGGCCTATTTTTCCTCAGTGCAGTTTTAGCAGTGAAAAAGATAAAGAAGTATGATGGTTGCTTTCTATGTGTGAAGTAACTCATAAAGAGGACAGGTTAATTTAAACACTTGATTTCTAATTTCCCTCTCACTACTACCTCCAGGGGTAGCAGATATTGTGTTGTAGTTAAAATCAGTCAGTTTATTAAGAGCCTACATAATCTTCATGTTCAGTAGAAATCATGCTACAAGATAAAACGTGAAAAAGCTCACATTCTCTTCACAAAATGATCCAATCTCCTGGTGGGTCTGTACCAATTAAATTTTCAGGAGGGGACAGGAAATGTTTATTTGAAAGCTAGCCTACATGAACTTCATTACATTAGTTTCCACAGTGGGGGAATAACATTGATTCACTGTCAAACACCACAAAAAGCAGACAGGAAATAGTACAAAATATGGCAACCAGGCCTCTATATGGCATCTGTTTTGAGTGTTTTTCTCTCAGAAGTCCAGTTGTGTGATACCACACTAAAATAAATATGTAATCTTAAAATAGGATCCTCATAATGTAGATTCTCTAATAGATTTAAGCATCACAGATGCTTAATAGACTTAAGCATTTTAAGTTTGTGCAAGTCTTCTTTTTATTTTCATACAGATATGTTACCTAAGCAGGGTTAGAATATTTTTAGAGCCTTCTCTAACAAGGAGAAAAGAATAGTCTGATAGAGAGAAAACCATGTCTTTCTTTGATTATTATCTAACCATTTCCCTCATACAGAGTGTGGCACACATCAAAACAATAGGAACTGTATGCCACTTTGTTCCAATGTTGTTACTAAAAACCGCTGAAGTTTAGTCCTTAAAGTTTTTTCCCAAAAGAACAATAGTGCAAAAAAGACTTCTTTCTGTTTTGCTGAAAAGAATAAATGATATCAAAGTAATTCACAGAGGAGGAAGGTATAGGTAAATAAGCTTTGACTTCCCAAATCTTTTCTGCCGATAGATGCCAAAATAGAGATGTAGCTATAAAGCTCTTTTTATTAGCACATTTAAAATTATTTTCCCTCTGCTCAACAAATGAATTATGCTAATATTAAGATGACCTGTTTAAAAAAAATTAATCCAGGGAGAAGCAAAGGGTTTTGTATCTGCAGTATCGAAGTTACCACATACCTGTCTTTGGAATGACTCAACTAGTCTACATGACATTGTGAAATACCTTGAAATCACCAAAATTGAGATTAAGTCCAAGAAGACTATAATTTTACTTTTCCATTGCCCAGGAGAATCAAAGATGAATTCAGAAAATTTGGTGGAATTTATATCTCCTTACAGTCTGGTTACATCTACAAAAGGGTCAGGACTTCCAGGCAGTTCGCATAAATACAGTATGTCTGGGTTAACACAATTGAACCAAATAATTTATAAGAGATTATTCAATAATAAGTAATTGATCTATATTCAAATATTGAATGCCTGAATAAACACAAGAAAAGAATCAGTCCAGATCCCTACCCTCTTATATTGCTATTAAATGTTTATTTTTATGAAAATGAAGGTAGAAATTAATTTGCTCAGTGGAAAGTTAACTATTCAGATTGCATGATTTAATGATTAATAAAATCTTCTGAAACTCTAAAATTCATAATGGTCCAGTCTAGTTAATTTCTTCCAGTATCTTCAAATATGTAGCATACTATTAAGATAATTTCAGGAACAAGTGGGAATATTGAAAGACCTGATTGCAATTCAGAACATTTGCTGGGCCTTATTTATAAACTACTAATGAAGTATCACTAAGAATCTTAACAAGTCAAAGACTGCATGATTAAATAAATATAACATTTGGATGCAGTAATAGAGATATAATAATGGGAATTTTAATGGAAGAACATTAAATTCACCTGGAATATTATACTCAGAGCAAATTGGTATAAGATATTAATATATGGCTCCAGTCTTGCTTGTTAAAATGGACCATTTATTTTTCAAAAAACTGAAAATGTAATGAGTAAAGTTGAATCACTTTTTCCTATTTGGTGCCAATATGATAAAGCTCAATAATTCTGGAAAATGATTGATGCTGGGATGAAGACATTTAAAAAGTGAATTCACATTTCAGTCTGCAACATTCTTATTCAACTCACTTTACTCACTCATAAACCCCTTCAAAGTATACTGAATTAACCTGTATATGGCAAGTACCACAAGGGTATTATATGTTTTCTTTTTAAAAGGTTCCCCTCAAAGTTCATTGTTTTTTTTAAATTGTAAGCTGCCCAGAATCATTTATCAATTGGGCAGCTTATAAATCATATTAAATAAACTCAAACTGGAAACCATCATTTAGACATAGACTAATATCACATCTACAGTTTGGGTTCACTTTGCATAGAATTGCTTAACTTTTCTGGATCAGATAGTAATATTTTTAGTAATATAGACTGAATTATTGAATTTATTAGAACTGATAATTTTATTTGACGATTTATGCTGTAATGACCATAATTCTTGATATTCAGTCATACTTAAATAATGATTCTTAGTCCTTTAAAGTGATACAATAAATAATTTATTGATTTTTTTAAAGCTAATCAATAATAGTTGTGGGTGTTCCAACACTGGAGGTCTTTAAGAAGAGATTGGACAGCCATTTGTCTGAAATGGTATAGAGTTTCCTGCTTAAGCAGGGGGTTGGACTAGAAGTCCGCCAAGGTCCCTTCCAACTGTTATTCTGTTATATATTAGAGACCTCTATGATTTCCTAAATCCCTACTTTTTTCAAATTTATTTTATTCTTTTATTTTTTTATATCTCTATTTGGAATTTTTAAAATATATTTTCTTTAAATGGGTTGATAAAAGTACCCTCCTCCCCAAAAGTATGTGGATAATGAAAAAAGAATTCAGGAAAATTAGAATCAATGCAGCACAACTGAAACTAAACATGGTTGAATTTGATTCAAAATCACCACCTAAACAGCTCTGTAGAGAGAAACATTGATACTTAGCTTGTTTGTTTCTCAGAAAACAGTGAAAAACCCAATGTATAAATATCAACAGAAAGACTGTGACAAAAAAAGAAAAGAAAGAAAAGATAGTATCAGGTCCCTTGATATAATCGCAAAACTTCTGGACCTACTTGAACACCATTGGCATTGACAAAATCACTATCAGTCAATTGGAAAGGCAGCTTTCCTTGGAAAAAGCTTACATTCTGCAATGATCTTCTTAATCCTATCAAGAAACATCCATCTCTCCCAGGTCTTTGGGAAAGATTTGATAGGTGGATAAAAATACCAAATCAAGTCTGACCATCTGGCTGACTGTGTGACCAACCATAATAACAATAACTTATTATTTAATCCTTCTTTTCAATTTCAATACTATTAGGAGTATGACAACAATAAAATGATTTTAAATGCAAAGAACAGTAGCAAGAATAAAGATACAATAACATGAATAAAGAATCTAAGGGCCATTGCAGCATAAAACCATCCAGATTGTAATAGTGGACAACATATCACAACCAAGAACCGTCTTTCTTTTCATTCACTGCATTAAGTCATCTGTTAGAATTCAGATGGCTTTTTAACAATCTCTGCTATTTTACTTGTTCCTAATTGAGACTTTTCCTTTCTCTTTATTTCAGGGAGTGAGTTTTCTGGAAGTCCGTACAGTCACCCACAATATTCAACATACAATGATTCCTGGAGATTTCCTAACCCTGGATTGTTAGGTAAGTTTGTTCTCTTACCATTAAAGCCATAGCCTAATCCAAAATTCAGGAGCCCAATAATGTGCCCCCATGTGCCCTGTCCAATGTACTCTTGAGGACCTTATGACTGCGCAACAGAATGCAATCCATGTTGTACATGTGATGACCCGGGGTGCAGCACAAAGGCAACACAGTCAGATAACCAACTTTATTAGCTCCAACTTTGCCCCCAATGTCCTGGTTACCTTCTGGCTGGAGAAAAACTCTCCCAGCCTTTGGCTGCATAGAATCAAATCCAAAATGTGGTCAACAAAAATTGTAACTATAAGTCCAATCAAGGCAAAATGAGGTAATTAGTCTGGCAGGGCAGAAGAAGAAATTCCAGATGTGAAGGCATGGCAATAACTCAACACGTTGGGAGGATGTCAGGAACACAGATAACCAAAGTCAACACAAGATAAACTCACATTTGTTCCCAACAGACGCTGCACTCAGCATGCATCTCTTTTAAACTCTCTTCCCAGGTGTGGCCAATGAAGAGAATCAGGGCCCTTTCCTCCCCCTTAAGGCACACAACCCACGTTGCTCTCTTCTCCGTTCCTCCCTGCATGCCCTAGGATGAAGAGGGGGTGGGCCTGGGTCTTCCTCTGAACTCCCTCTCCCTTGTTCTCTCTCCCTCCTGCTCTGCCCAGCCGGACTTTGCCCTTCCCCAGTTTCCTCCACAGCCAATGGAATCACACTCCAACTCCTTGTCAGCCATTCATCTTCCTCCTTGGATTCAGACTCTGACAGGGGCATGACACTACACTTCTGGGTAACCATCACCTAAGTTAGGCTTTTATAAGAGAAGAGTGGTGGTGGTGCAGTGGTTAGAATGCAGTATTGCAGGCTAACTCACTGCCCACTGCCAGGAGTTTGATTCTGATTGGCTCAAGGTTGACTCAGCCAGAGGGGGTATTCAGCAGGTTCTGACCAGTTCTGGAGAACTGGTAGTGGAAATTTTTAATAGTTCAGAGAACCGTCTAATACCACCTCTGACTGGAGATTTTGCAGTATCCTTCCCCTGCCACGCCCACCAAGCCATGCCCAAAGAAGTGATAGTAAAATTTTTTGAATCCCACCACTGGACTCAGCTGTCTATCCTTTCAAGGCCAGTAAAATGAGGACACAGGTTGTTGACTCTGTAAATCGCTTAGAAAGGGCTGTAAAACACTGTGAAGCGGTATGTAAGTCTAAGTGCTATTGCAATACATTTTAAATTTTATGTTCTTGTGCCTATAGTTATATTTGTGCATAAAATTTTAATAATGATGCTTCTGATAATAATAGAACATAGAATCATAGGGCTGGATATAATAATAATTTCCTTTGAAACATTCTGGAGTGCCTTCTCTAGCTAAATAGCAATGTCTAACAATATATGTAATGTTTAATCATCAAATTACATAGATCAGAACTGATTAATTGGCAACACCTTCACGCTTAAATTTTAACCTGAAGTCTCTTTGTTTTTACTTGAATTCACTTTCAAGTAATTCTTGTTGTTTAATGTAAATGTGAGATATAAGAACGGACATACAACTGTGTACATAATTGCTTTCTTTCAACAAATCATAATTAAGATATTCATATTCTGACATCACAACAAACATCTCGGATGGCATTTGCCAAGATTTTCTGTGGCTCACTCTCCATGCCATGGTTATTTCAGAGATGAAAGGAGTTTGAAAAAGCGATCTCTGTTCCTGCTGTATATAATTGTTTCGCCTTTTGCTTTTGGTACACAGGATACAAAATAGTGCAAAGCCCCGTGTAATAAATTTAGCCATAACTGGCAGGGGTATAAAAGAAATGTAGCCTATGGGAAGTTGAATCCATTCCCATATTACATTTAACTCCCCCAAGCTATTGGCTTTATTCATGTTATGCCTTCAGGCTGTATTAAGGCTCCACTGTGATTTGGAATTAATTTGAAGTAATGCATTAAAATGTTTGGAAGTGTGAATGCTGAACCTATCTGCAGCTCATTAAAGCAACCATGTCATGTTCCATGAAGGGACAGATCACTTCTAATTGCATGTTCTAAGCACCTCTTCCAAATCAAATCCAAGGCGGTGCATCCCGTTAGTGTTTTCTGGCTAGTTTTCTGGATTCTTGTCCCAATTTTTAAGTTAATGTAGAAGAAATTATGGGGGGAGGGGGGGAATGTATTTCTTCTGCATGTTTCATCATACTGCTAGCTGAATATATGCCTCCTTTGATCTTTTTGGGTTTCAGTAAAGATGATGCTGTTTCAGTAGAAGAGAGCAGCATAACTTATAATTTACAAACGAATAGCCTTTCTTCGGGATCTTTTCTTTCCTCTTTAAACTGTCCCCCCCACCCATTTTGTTTTTTATATGTTCTCTCCAGACACATAGGGGAGATTTTAGGGCATGTAATTTTGCAGCAAGACAGAATCCAAATGGTTCTAGAAAAAAATCTCCTTACAGACCATTGGCAGTCCCTAAGTAACTCACCCTCACCCTCCCTTTAATAAGGAGGATAAGCAACATCCATTTTATGCCACTGTCAAAAGCTGGCCCAACTTGACCTTACATGTGTGTAGCACATGGTGATTAGAATTCTCCTGCATAATCTATGTGAATGAGGTAAGTAAAATACCAATTAATTGTCACTTCTCTAGCAGAGAGATATTGTGCCTTAGAGACTTTCAGATTTATGGATGGCAAGGTTGTTATGTGTGACCTCTAGCAGAGAAATAATTTTGAATTTTTGTCATTTTTTAAAATTCAGTTTCTTTGTTTTAAGTAATTGAGTCCCTAAGTAATTGAGCCACCTAACATCTACCCATCACATTTCTTGCCCTTAAATAAATCCTTTGGGAGGAATTGATGGGTTTTAGCATTCTGTGTCACACTGCTTTTTACAGTACAAAATTGCCATTTACTGTGCTGTAACTAAGAGTCTAGTGTTGCTCACAGCTCAAATCAGAAGCTGTTTTCTAATATTGTTTCAGCACTCAGCTCAAGGCCAATAGTTTGACATAAAATGGACTACAGCTACTTACAAAAAGCATGAAGGATACCTCTTGGGATTGGTTCTCACAGATGCAAGTACTTATTTCCTTGTTTGTTACTTGCTCGTTACTCCTTACTGATCGCCAAGAAGTGTTTCGCTACATATGCAACGCAGTGAAATACAGTAATAGCTTCCTGAGGTGTAGATTAAACTGACTCACTTTGGATCCTAGTATAGGTATCAAAACCTCCAATAGTATTTAATTGGATGCAATAATTGAAACACATTCAACAACATATCTTATCTAAACGAATCAGCTTCTCTAGCCAGTTATCCTTCATATGTTTCCTTGCCTCTATTTCCTATTCCGGAAATATGGGTTGTTGTTGTTTTGGCTATGTCTGTAGGATTTACTACCTCTATCACACATTCCCCAGTTGTATTGAAAATGATCGATTTCTGGACACAAGATAATATAACAAGAAATGTTTAAAATTTTCTCCAAAAACCATCGATTTCATAGAGTCTTTTGTCCCGAAATGCAGTATTTCTGAAAGTTAGGGTAGTATGTGAAATACAAACCAGTTATTAATATAGCAGTTTGTTCTGTGCAGTATTTTGAAGAGCTTTTAAAATTAATTAAAACAAGAACAAAAAAATTAATACACAAAATTATAAAAGAAAAAAAAGTTGAACACCCCTAAAAAAGCATACAAGATGTATGCTTTGTATTTACAAACATCAGTTCACTGAAGCCATGATTACTTATAGTAATCCATAACTGATCTATTTTGATCCATTCTGTAAGCCACTGAATAGATTCTCCTTGTCATATCCCTTTTAACAAGCCTCCTTTTTTTCATTGTTCCTTTTCTTATATTTCCATGTTTCTAACTTCTATTTTTGTCAGGTAACCATTGATAAAATAAGACCCAAGTCAAAAAGTATTCAATTTCTCCCTTTTCCTTAATTGTAAGGAAATCTATCAATCTATCAATTTCTGCACATTCTAATATTTTTTTTTTAAAAAAATCACATTTTCATCTGTAGGGATTTCTTCACTTTTCCATTGTTGTACAATTATAATTCTGGTTGCAGTCAGTACATGTAAAATCAAATATGTATTCCCCTTGTTATACATGCCCAACAACAATATTTCTGGTTTTAAATCAGTATGTTGCTTTACTATTTTTTTCCAACCATGTATGTATTTTTGTCCAATATTTTTTTGCTTTTGGCCATGTCTACCACATATGGTAGTATCTGATGGCATTTCCAACATTTAGAAGGCATATCCTTAAACATCATTGCCAACCTTGAGGGTAGAAAATATTATTATTATAATAATTATGATATAATAAATATCAATAAAATGAATATTGTTGTAAACACTTTATTATTTCATAAAACTATTTGTACCCAGACAACAAGCTGTTTAACCAAAAATAAATTTTTTATATGTTATATAACAAAAAACTTTATGCAAAGAAAAAAGAAAAAAAAGAATAGATTCTCCTTGTCTTACTTGCCAGCCAAAATGTCCCCAGTTACATGTAAAATAGGACCTAATGTTGTTGTTAAAGTGAAGAAGACTAATGCAAGGAAATAAAAGAAGTATCATATTTATAAAATGCATGAGTTCATCACTGTTCAAGCAAGGGAGCTAATGTGGAATATTAGAGATTGGATTTAATCAGATTGTTTTTGGGGATAATATTAGAAGACAATCCCTGTGTCATCAGAAATAAGGAAATATATTATTGCAAATTATGTATAATATGATAAATTATTATTTACATTGATTTGGGAAAGCAGTGGTACTCAATACGAGTGATACAAATGTAATATGATTCTCTCATGTTTGAAATAGCGTTGGAACTGATGGGTTCAAGCTTCAATATTATAAGATCTTAGGAAAACTTTTCTCAGTTTTCAGCTGCAGTTGGAGATTGGTTAAGACATAAGTTTTTTCTGAATTGGATGTTTGCTAGTAAAGTTTG